TTTTTTTTAATTTTACTTTTCTTTATTTGTAATTTATTCTTTTTAATTGTATGACAATTTAAAAAATGTGTTTGACTCTTACTTTGCCCTTTATTTATTGATATTTATTTTGTATAGAAAGAGATTCTTCCATCTGTTAAATAATATTCTTATTTTATAAGTGTCCTTTATTTTTTATAATGGTTCTTTTCTCCGGTATTTAAAAGGAAATTCTTATTATTATGTAATTTACGTTATTATATTTTATTAGTTTAACGTCAATAATGGCATATGACGATGTATGACATATCAATCTCCAGATTCAAGTGGAACACATTGAAATTGCCCGAAGACTTTAACATCGCTCCTGCAACTGGCTATTGCTCTCCTGGTATGAACGTCAACTTCGTTGTCAGTTTCCAACCTACTCGGCATGATAGTTTGATCGAGGGCAATGTAAGCGTATACAACTTCTACCTTTATATTGCTGTGCACACAAAATACTTGATCTTCGGCGAGAACCTCGTTCCTTACTCCTGCAATATACACCAAACATAAAAGTAGTTTAAGCAATACACTGTGCTTCTTGACATATTTCTACATCATATTTCTACATCATATTTAACTTTCTGAAAGAACTTTTTCCCTCAGAACTTAAGAACAACAGGACTCTCATGTATGTGCTTGATATATATTCTAGAGTCCTTGTCATATTTATTTTAAAAATTGTCTTAATATTAGTTTCGGTAAAATAACAGTATAATTGTTATTTTAAAAAGATCTCTAATATCTATACATATATACAAATTATATTATAACTTAATTTATATTATTGTAAATCTGATATTAATTTTATAAACGCATGTAACAAATAATTGAAACTGTAATTGAGCATACGAGATGTAGTCTTTTGATAAAAGATATAATTTATTTTATTTTCAGGCAACGCTTGAGATTGAAAAATATAGAGATCTCGGCTTAAAAATTACTGGAGCTAGCTGCAAACTGCCTGATCCAATCGATACTCTGTTCTTTTCGTGTCGAGTTCGCGAGAAAATAATGAGATCTCTGAATGTCGAAAACGATATCGCAACTTTAAAATCGGAGATCACCGGCGAATATTTTTTCATCGATGAGATCTCATACGATCCTTTGAAAAAATTTACTACCTGTACACTCACCTATGCCCCTCTAATCATGAATAGCGAGAGCAATCTTCACGAAGTAATTAAAACAGAACTTGGTTAAAAAATTTCTTATAAAATAATCATATAATTCCATAATAACATAGAACATTTATAATTTTAACGTAAAAGTAACAGGTCGAGAAACGTAATATTTCCATAAACTATTTTAGGGTACGTTGCTTCTAAAACTGCCAGATGATAAAGCTCCTTTAGTGTACTGTCTTCGAGGGCTTAGTCTACCTCCACAAGTTCTCCAAAGGATTACACGTCAATTTCCGGCAAAGACAAAATATACTGAATTGTTACCTGTTTACAATTGGCTGAGTAGGCAACAACAATTCGAATGCCAAATTGAGAATATGAACGGCAAAGAATCTGCCGAGGTTTGAAAGATTTACGAGAGATTACAGGAAAATTGTGAAATAATTCTAAAATTTTTTTCTTAATTTGCTTTTTAGAATGTTGAAATGTTCACTTTTGTCGGCAGCAGAAAGATAGACATTCCAGCAAACGGCCAACGAGATTATCGCGCAGAGTTTTATTCCTACAAAGAATCAAAATATAATTTTATGGTATTTTATATTGGTAAATTATTGTCGGAAAACACAAGTGACATAAAAAATTTTTTTTTCAATTTTAACAGATAGGGCTTTCAAAATAACAATTTTATAACTGTTTCTAACCATGTTTTCATAGTGTAAAATTATATTTTGCAAAATAATTAGAACTACGCGTATGCATAGGTAACGTTCACTAATGAAGAGGGCGAATATCAATTTTACGAACTCCAGTATGATATTACAAGACCACAAGAGATCGAATCGATCAAACTGATCACTGTGGTACGATCTCCGGTGTGCTATGCTTTAAAACTTGATAATCCACTTAAGAAGCAGTACGTAATATATACGGCAAAATGTCAGCATCCCTGCATCACAATTCACGACGTACCAAAGCTCGTAGCACCATTATGCAGCGTTAGTCTTTGAATTTTATTTATAATACATTGCAATCAAATAGACACAGTTAAAACCATATTTTTGATCGAAAAGGATCTTAAAAAGAATGCTTAATAATATTTATATGTAAATAATATTTTATATGTAAATTTGCTTAATATTCATGTAAATTTGCAAATACATTTTTAAATCCTACAAATTACGCGCCAATTCTATTCGTCGGATTTTAGACGCGACTAAAATTGGAAATAATATTAGTCATAAATTATTGATAAATTTAATAATAATTATTAAATTAATTTAATTATTGATAATTTGATTTGATTTCATTTAATAATAATTATGAAATTACTGAATACAAAGATTTGAAAAAAATAAGATTCTTTCTTTTATTTGATTTATCTTTATTAGTTAGATTTATACTTGCAATTATTAATACGCTACAAGTTAAAAATAAATTCGATTTTCCGAAAGTATATTGAAATATTAATTCTTTGCGGTCCAAATTTATTTGCAAATAAACGAAAATCGAGTATTTCATCCTCAGTTTTATTTAATTGGGTAATCTAACATAAATTAAAGAATTTTTATTACTCGGAGAAATTTTATAAAAATTCAAAAAGTATTATTTATCAATTATAATCATTCGAATGCTTGAAGAATTATGCAATAGGCTACCGCATTGTATAAAAGAACCGTAAAGTGTTAATAATTAAGGAATTACATTCGCAATTTATAAACGGAATAAATTTAATGATGGGCAACAAACAATAACGGTGGCAGTAACGATCTCTGTGAATATAATAGGAAATTATCAAAATCAAGTACCACCCTTTACATTCCGCCGAGGAAATTACGGTAGCCTTGGACGTCAACTGCGAGGAACTCGGATTGTTTCCCTACGAATTGCGATTGCGAGCGATACCAGCATCACCAGAGAAAACGACGCGCGTTGATGCGATGCTTGGTAGTTCCGTCACCTTTTCCCTGAACGTAAACAATCACGCCGAGAACACTGCAATATTCACTATTAAGGTGAGCATGAAGTTGCGTTTCTTCTTCTTTTGCTACAACGATCGATGAAAAAGTCTCCTTCTCATATATTCTAGGTGGATAATGAATGCTTTACGACTTCGAAGGACATCGAGGTGCTGGCGTTGAAAAATAGATCATTCGACATAACTTACGAACCCTGCGATGTCAAAAATGTCTCTGCTACTTTGACAGCCACATCTGAGATTGCCGGCGAATTTGTGTATGATAATTCGCAATTAAAATTAATTCTTTACGGTTTTATGTCGAATTAGATTCAACGTTATATGTTACTAGTTTAGTAGTTTACAACATATAATACTTTAAACAGTCGAATCTATACACGATTAAAATCGGTAACTATTGGATCAGTGCAAAAATTCGGGCCCGATTTATTATTCAAAGTTCAAACAGCTGCAATTTTGTTAAAAATAAACGAAATTTAAATTTAAAAAAGGGGTTTTAAAGCTTGAAATCTCTACTTTCGAATGGTTACTATATTTTTGTAAGTTTTATGTGAGTTTTGTTAATTTTTACACATAAAAAATTACAAGCTGAAAAAAATAAAAAATTTTCTTTTCACTTTGTAGATTTGTAGCGTGCCAACAAAAAATTTGAGAAAATTTTCGATTTTATCGTAAAAGCTTGAAACTTTCCTTACAAAATCATTTTTTTAAATGTTCCTACGATTTTTTTGTTACTGAGTTATTGAAAATTAAATAAAATAAATATTTTGACTTTTATTGCTCCTAACTCTATCAAAACCATCACAATTTAAAAAAATACAGATTCTTAAATTCTCTCATCAGATAAAGTAAGATTTAGATTTTATTTTATTTGTAATAAAAATAGCAGCTATTTGAAGTTTGAATAATAAATTGGGCACAAACTTTTGTACTGATCCAATATATTTTCGAGATTTCCATAAATTCTTTAAAATAATGAAGAGAAATTTTTTATTCATGTTAGACTGACTGATTGTATGAAACTGAAAACAAAATACTGATTGAGTTTTATTCATTTGAGATCATTTAGATATCAATTAGGATTAACCTGTCGTGCTGATTGCTGCGTTATTAAATAAGCCAAATATACAGAATGTGTTTTGTCTATATTGTTTATATACAGATTTCCTCTCATTGGTACGTATTCGTTGCCGAAACCTCAAGGGCCATATACAGTTGCTGCTAATGCACCGGCTTCTATACCCTTCAAAAATATATTTCAAGAAACCAAATCTTTCGAGCTTATCTTAGACGATCCCGAAGTTTTCATAACATCGACATCGTTGGACAAAATTAAGCAAAAACAGGTAATTCTATTGATTTTATAATTATCTTTTTTAATCCTCACCGTGTATATGTTTTTTTAAATACTATTAAGCATATTCGTATAACATATATGACGAATTTGTATATTTTTAATAACGAAAAGAAAGCAATGTTTTATAAGATTATTTGTTAATTATTACGGCAGATCTCCCTAGCAAAAATAAAAATCAGAGCGTAAATCGAATGTAAGGGTAGATTTAGACCTTGGGTGCATTCTGTTTCACGCATGATGCACATGATGCATCATTTGTCTTTGTTGTTTACCAAATGTTAAACAAGGATAAATGATGGCATACTTTATGCGCATCATACGTGAAACGTAATGCACCCCTTGACAGAAAAGTAGAAAGCAGAAAAACAGCAGTTAATCAGAACTCACGTTGGTAGTAAACAGTATAGAATGCCATTAGCTGCGTTCAGTAGAGAAAACTAATTAATTAGAGCTTAGTGGTTCTTTAATACGATTGATTCCTACACTTAGATTTAACGAAGAACTAAAGGCAAGGACTATATTAAAGAATTACTAAACGCTAACTGATTAATTTTTTCTATTGAACGCAGCCATTGTTGACTACCGGTGCGAGTTGTGATTAGCTGCTGTTTTTCTGCTTTCTGTTTTTCTGTCAAAGTCTGTTTTTCTTTTATAAAGTGAACACGCCATAAGGCTAATATTACATTCATCTGTTTTTATATGTAATCTGTTTTTTGTATGTAACATACATGTTGTACATGTATGTACAACAAGCTTTTCAAGCCTTTTGATTGGTTGTAGAGCAAAGAAGTTCTCGGATCTTTTTGTCTTACAGCCAATTAACATGTAATCTTGAAAAATTTGTCGTACGATAAATGTAATAGCAGCCTAAAGGTACAGCAACAGAAGCGTAAACAAAACTTCTAGAAAGCGAAATTTGAGACAATAAAATGTAAAGAGTGTTTACTTCTTAATTTTCGTTTTTTAAAAACTTTGTTTACGGTTCTATCACTCTTCCTTTATATTCAACTTATGCTGCTATCTTTATTTTTGTCAGGATAAAGTGTTTAATAAAACAATTTATTAATTATTACAACATTAATATCAATATGAATTATAAAAATAATATAAATTATGTAAATTATATAATCAATATAAATTAATATAAATCAATATTACAAGGCGATCTCTATTGTCGTTCAACTAAAAGATAATGGAAAAAGAGAAATGGAAGATAATTATCCAGTTACCGGAAAACTTCTGGTGTACTGCACAGATCCCAAGATTTCTCACATAAATTGGATTTATTATTTAAGAGGTATACGCGAACAATAAATGAATAACATATTAATATCTACCGAGATAAGTATCGCACCACAATTTGTCATATTTTTTTCTTTGTGATATCAAATACTGTATTTGATTACGAATAATAATTATATCATTGAAAAAAATAAAATACACGCTCTTTTCATGTTTTTACGTTCTGTATATGCGAAGGATCACTTAAAAAATATCTAGAGGTACATTCTGTTTTACACATGATGTATCATTTTATCATTCTTTGACTGCTAATTCATTTGTACGTTTTTGTCGTATGAATTTTTCGAGCCTATTAATTAGCTTATAAGATAGAGAGATCCGAGGATCTCTCGTTTGTCAACGCACAAATAAATAACACCTTTTGAATGCGTTCTGTTAAGTCTGTTCAATCATAGTCGATTATTTTTATTATAATATTCAATTGTGATTGGCCAATTTTTTACGGCTTACAACTTGCGACCTTATAGTAGAATAGGCATTACGCATAATAATAAAATGCGCATGATATATCATTTTTTTTTTATCTCTGTTGTTCACCGAATATTAATCCTTTATATGAATCGTTCATATCCCGAGCTAATTTTTATCACTTTAATAAATATATAAAAATTATTAAATGATTCTTACATATACTTTATGTCTTTAGAAAATATCTAGCGGATATTTTTATGATGCTATGACATTGCAACAATGTTGCAAATACATTGCGCAATCCATTTGCAACATTACAACATTGCAATGAAATATATCTGCAATTATTTTGCAATCTTTCTGTGCTGTATGGACATATCTATATACAAGTATAATTATATATAAAACTTTTTTCCTGGGTGATTATTTGATGTTGCTAGTACGAAAAAAAGAAATGTGCAGGACGCGAAAGATCCAGCCAACTAAAGAAGAATTGAGATTAAAAAAAGATAATCATGCGTAAAACGGAACGCATTTTTAAATCTAAATCCTAAATACGCCACTTATCCATCATACGTCATCGCCCGCACACGCGCAGTGACACGCGCCTCGCTCGTATCGTCCATAGTCCATACTCCACTTCATGGTCAATGATGTCGAACGCGATAGTCGAACATGGTCAAACTCAACGAGCGCCATAGTGATTTACTCCGTGTAATTCTGTGTGATTCTTCGTAAACACGGAATTCATAAAAAGTTCCAGAATCATTCCCAGCTAAAATCTTCGTTCGCGTCAACATGTGATCTTCGTGAAACCGGCGTCTCTTGGATCCCCATGATCGCCGCAATCGCTCCATAACGAGAACCTAACTTAACCTAACAGTGACACTTTCGCGACGATCTTACGATCGGCACTGCTGCCGCTATCACTGCTGTTATTCTAATACTTTGTGTCGCTCTCGAGTATCGCTCGTTCCGCTCGGTCTGCAAAAAACGGTGTCTTAGCGAAGTCAGATTTGCGATAACCTTGGCATAATCGCAAAGGCGCAATTGCGTTCGATGATAGCGCATCGTAGGAGCGGCTCGCGTTGGTTGCGGTGATCTGACAGGCTGATCAGGCATGCACCTGATGCATACGGGGAATCATACGCGGGCGATCATCTTCGGGTGTGTGTACTTTCGTCCTACGTCGTGCTATCATGAGCGAAGAGTCTAGAAAGATAGTGACCAGATTCCATCCCATCCACGGTGAGAACATCCTCCTGTGCGAAGACAGCACGGTCGCGGTACGGACTACGAGCTTTGCCAACTCAGTGGCCTTCAGCGAGAAGCCGTTGCAGCCAGGAGAGATCTTCCTCGTGGAGATCGAGAAGACGGAGAGAGGATGGAGCGGACACATGCGACTGGGTCTCACTTTGATCGATCCAGCTTCGGTCAACAACAACCTGCCTCAATATGCAATGCCCAATCTGGTTAGATTAGGCAACACATGGATCCTCGCTATAACTAGGAATCAAACTATCTGGGACAATTTTGACGGTGGTCTATCTTCCACATACACCTCTATCACAGGTTAATATCTGTTATGAAATTACTATGATAATTTTATAAAAATTCTCTTTATCAATATTACAATTAATTTTGGAAATTAAAGAGGAAGTTTATTAAAAGTGATACACAATGCCTTTTTTTTTAGCTGAACTTCTTGCAAAGTTTATCTTTTTTTTCTTTTTATGTTGAAAAGGAAAAGATAAAAGAAGTTTAGTTAGAAAGAACGGACTTACTATATTTGTAATATTAATATAAAAATTGCTACGAGTTATAAAACATATAATTATGAAAATATCTAGACATAAATAAAAGAGCACGAACAATAATATATATATATTAAATGAATTTAGAATTTATATATGTTATACATTGCTGAATGTTATATACTTGTTCATAAAAAGGACTACCACCAGGAATACCAGCCAGAGAGAAGAAATTGGTCACAGATGGAGTCAACGTGCAAACGTCACGCGGTGTTATTCCTTTTAATGCTCTGAAACCAAATATAGATGGTTCTTCTCAATGCATCCTGCCTACAGATGCGGGCAGTCGTATTGGTATCATGTATGTGCCACAGGCCGGTTGTCCTGATAAAGCAGAAATGCATTTCATTATCAATGGTGAAGATCAGGGCGTATGTGGCAAGGATATTCCTTATAAAGCGGGACCTTTGCGTGCAGTAGTGGATGTCTACGGTACCACGAAACAAGTTCGAATAGTTCAACTGTATGGAGGTAAGTATCTATGTCCTAGATATCCCATTTCTTTGTTTCAGCACGGTTTCTGGATTGATTCTATATGTTTCAGCAGTATCAACACTACAGAGTGCATGCCGTGACGCTATATTGCAATACACTAAGAGAAACGCAGTCAATCTGCTCCCTTTGCCGAGACTACTGAAGGACTATCTCTTATATCAATCGCAGTGAAAATCAGCTCATTCCGCTTTTGCATATGTTAGGAAACATTACCTGTCAATTTCTATATCTTTTCCCAGTGATATGTTCAGTGTTTATACATTTACATGCGTAACATATATGTTCTATTCATTATTGAAGACTGCCGAATCATGTCGATTCAAAGCATTGGTGCGAATATATTCGTTTCGATAAACATATCTTTTCGAAATGTATACGATAGAAATGATTGTTTAATAATGGAGAATTCTTTTTACTTGCGCATTTTGAAGATTTTTCTTGGGCAGAAATGCTAAATCATAACGTGTATATAGTGTAACGAAATGTTGATCGCTGCAAAATTGAAAAATTCAGCGAAATCATATTGAAAGTTTAATATACATAACTATTATTTGAAAATGACCATATATGGGGCATAACAACGCCATATATAAAAGTTAGATATATTTTCAGACAGTTACTTTCATTCTACTTATATTTCCTTATTTCTCTATTTATTATGAGATATGTAGGTTAAGTTGCAATTGGCACTGTTGTTAAACAAACAAAAACGAACAATGTTAGTATAAATGTCCAAAGCAAACTTGTTTTACAAAATAAAGGTATTTATAAGAAGAAAACCATATCGATATCAGAATCCAGCCCACATTTATCCAATATATTTGTACATATATAAACTGATATATATATTTCTAAATTTATATTGCTTGTTATATAATCATATCACTTAACAACAAGATATATATCCTTAACATCATTTGAAATAAATTTATTTCGTATATTAGAGAGAGTTAATGTATTATATGGTATAGTACGTAGGGAAACATGTACTCAACAGTATAATATAAGCGAGAAATACGCTTAGAAACGCTAACCATCCTATGAGCACTATAATATATTTCCATGGTGATCTTTTGCTGTTCGATTGCACGAGGTCGGTATTATCGTCCATATCTGCTTCTATCTTGGCTGTCACGGCTGGGTCTAGAATGCTAACTAGAAGAATTTGTCCAACTCGACTGCGCAAAATGGATGTCGTGACGATTGAGATCCACATGGGTGGCTCGGTAGTCAATTCTTGCAGATGCCGCAAGATACTGGTGACAATGAGAGCAAACGTTGCTATTCCAAGAGAGCTCTCATAAAAGAAGACTAAAATAAGAAACATTTGAGATTGTTTTTCTTTTTTTCTCTTTGTTTTTATTACACATAATTAAACTAGAAAAAAATTATCTAAAAAGCTAGCAGTCATGTCAGATGTTTACGAATTAAATATATAAGTAGGTGAATTAATTTTACAAATTGATATATTGAAATATTAGTTGCACAAGATGTTAGAATTGTAGGTTTAAGATGAATGATATTATAAATAACGATTTTTCAAATTATTGTCTTATTAAATATAATACTTACGTATTTTGGGAATGTTAAAGCCACTTTTTGGTACTTCCCAATGCACGCCTTGTATACATAATAAATGACAAATAAAATTGAGATTAGCAATCACCATTCGCTCGAAAGATTTTGGTTCTAACCACAGTGTCATCAGAGTCATCACCATTAGTACTGTGAATATCATATAAAATGCATTTAGATATTAAAATTAATAGAAAAAACAATTAAAATTAATTTACTTATTGAAAATCAAGTTATTATCTATCAACATGTATACCAAATTTAAATTGTCAAAAAATTGTTTCTAAAAAATTTGATCGCTTTTATATATGCTTTGGATAATAAGGATAGTTTGATAATGAAATAATATTAATTAAAATTAAAGCAAAATACAACGAACCTATAGCAGGTAATAAAAATACAATGCGTATTATGCCCGAATGACTTCTCAGAATAAAGTGAAAAGAAATCATTTTGATGGTCGAATCTGAATTGTACTTATATCTATTTTCCCATTTTGTTATATACATTTTTTCTAAATTCCATTCGGTATGCTTTACTTCTATATTTGACTATAAAATTATTCAGTTAGTAAGTAAAGTATAAGTATAAAAGTATTACTAAAAAATCAATTGTTTTTGTACATATCGTGCAAGGCATATTATCTAGATACAAAAATTAATTTGGTTTCATAGAAAAAGAATAAAATTATACCAAATTCTGGTTGGAAACAAGCTCAATCTCATCACCAGAATGTGACCACGATCCGAATTGTATAGTACAATTTAAGGTATTGTACGGCCACCACGTATAATCTGTGAAACAACTTGAGGTATATTTTGCTGCCACAAACCATCTAACTGTCCCTTGTCTCGAGACCCAACATTTTGAACCTTTATTATTCAATGAGCTTTCTCCAAATTTTCTAAATGTATAAATAATTTTATAAATTCTACTTAAATCTAATATTACATATTCCGTAATTTAAACGTTAGAAGTTAGGAAATATCAAGATTTTCTACATTTCAATTTCAGATTTATTTTAACTTTCCGATATAATCTTATTGATACTTGTTGAGATTGTACGGTCGTTTTTCTGCTAGATGTCAATAAAAATCTTTTAACTGGCATAATAACATTACTTGCTATAATATTTTAATAGTATTTAAAACGTAATTATAGGAATAGAATTCTCGGATTCTGATATTAGAAAATTAATATATTTATACAGGGAGGAGCATTTAAAACAGGCATTTAAAACAGGCATTTAAAACCTGAATAACTTGCTTGTTGAAAGTGGCAACAAATATTAATATAAATATATTGATAAATTTAAATGATGTTTTTAATTAGTAAAAGAATATCTATCGCTTACCCGTTATGCATCAAAACATCAGGAATCCAAATTTGATAGCCTATTACAGCTATCCATTTAATGTTATCGTATTGTGCAGGATCCCATGTCAAATGCGAATCATTCCACATCTGTCCAAACACAAATATTAATATCAAACTTAAACTTGTGTTTAGAAACTTACAAAGTAATTATTAAAATGAAAGTGCAATCAAAAATTATTCATTAATTAAACATCTGAATAATCGATAGATATATCACTTGTTCTTCTTAAACTCATTTCTTAAATACATTTATACGAATGTACTATTATATCCACGTAATTATGTAGACTTACCATTGACATCCACGTATGCAATACGAACATTTCACTTTCGTGAGTCTAAAAAATAAATAGGTAATATTTTTCGCAATAAGAATTAATTATTTACAGATTTTAATATGTTTAATATTATTAAGATCGTTTCGAAGATGCGAATAAGCATCAAAAATTTGTTAAATTGCTAGTCAATTTAACTCGTGATATTACTGCGGTAGTTTAGTAGAGTTAACGTTTTAAGATCGAAAAATCATTTCGGCGCGCGTTTTTGGGACTACATACATAGTATATAATTTACATAAGAATCATACAAGCATTAAGATTCAGTCAGACCGTTTAAGGCTTTTATTTCTATAGTTTGTAAAAAATAAATTACAATTTTAAATCCGATTTTCTGAATCTTGGTTAGTAAATTAAAACTTAATTTTTTTGTCTATTTAAAATTACAAAAAGATATTAATTCTTCGCGTTTTTTAAATATTGCGCACATTGACTGATATTATTATCATAATTTTATTATTATTTTTATTATTATTATTATTATTACTTACATATTCAAAGAATTGTGGCTTCAGATAGAAATTCACACGCGTCATGTTATTGTTATGTTGCACTGGTCTTACATATGGATCATATTCGCATAGGAGATGCCTTTTCAATTGCACCATAGGCGATATGTTTTCAGAACTACAACTGCTTTCTGCTATCACATCGGTACATGTAATGAGACTAAACAGGAAGACGGAAAAGAAATCGTTTCTACCCATCTTGAATATCTATACGACGAATGAATCTACAATGACTGAATCGCTTAGCAATGGATTATATGAGAGCAGAACTGATAATAATTATACGCCCAGTGAAACGTAAAACTGCAGACCATGAAGACCGCCCCTTTAGGAACAAGCTCTTATCAACAATAGAAATAATTTCTTTTTTTTTTTAAATAACAAACGACAAATACATTTTTCAGATGAAATATATTATTTTGTTTGTATTAACTTTTTATTATTTTACGTTATTTCGTCTATTTTGAACTTAAAACTAGAAGATGCAGTATATATGTATAATATTTGTAATGTTTTCATAATTATGATAATTTTGATAATTACTACAACTACGATTATTACAATTGCAATAATAATATTTGAATTTATGATAAATAAAGAATTTCCGAGCAGAGATAAGAATAATGAAGATAAAAATGATCTAATTATTTAGAAAATCGAATTTAAAACTAGCTTATTTTTATATTAATAACTTTTTATTGATTATTTCATTGATTCTTTATAATATTTTTAGCAAATTTTGTATATATTATTCATTTTAAATAATACAAGCTCACAAAAAAAAAGTATCCTGTGCTGGGGTGGAGACCCAGCTATTCTTATGTATTTTGAGTCGCTAAATACGAATCTGACATAGAAATAGGATCATCCAGGGCAAATTTTCAATCTAAAGTGAAAAAATGGATCAAAAATGAGAAAAAATAGATCATTTTTCGCTCTAGATTGGAAATTTGCCTTGAATGGTCCTATTTTTATGTCAGATTCGTATTAAGCGACTCAAAATATATAAAAATAGCTGAGTCTCCACCCCAGCACTGAATACTTTTTTTGTGATAATTTTTCTTTTCAGACTTTTTTAACTTTTTATTTATAGTGTAAATGTAACTATTAAATGCTATAAATTACGTAAGTTATTTGTATAAAAAATATGATTAACAAGGTTTAACAGAAGAAAAAAACAAATAGATAACATTTTAATTAAAAATAACACAAACAATTATTTATTTTAATTATTTACAAAAGAGTAAACAGAACAAATTGTTTAAAAGAATGTTAAATATTATGAAAAACATTTTGACAGTGTCATGAATTAATTTGTAGCTCCTGAAAGTACAAGAGTGATTAAGATGATGACATAGGTGAGGATCACACAGAAGAATGACAACCATTCAATAATAGCGGCGAAATGTCTCCAGGATTCTTTCTTCATTTCGGACTTTGGAGTATCCGAATTGTCTTCAGTCACTATATTTCCATCTGCTATCTTGGATTCCTTGTCGTTCAAGACCAGGAATTGACCAGCCCTGTTGTTCAAAATGAATATCGTCGTAGAAGATATCCAACTTGGCATCTCCATGCTCATATTTTGCAGTTTACGTAACAATGCTGTCAGAATTAATGCAAAAGTGGCCAACATCAAGGAGTCGCGGTAGAATAGCACTGTAGGATAAATAAAGAAATGTAACTTGTTATTTGTAACTTAAATTATTTTCATTATATGATTCTAATTATATGATTCTAATTACATAATTCTAATCTATATATTTAATCGTATATATATATATATAT